ATGGACGGTCTCTTATTCCATAAATNTGATATACTGCAGTCATTACTATGTAGAATATTAGGATATCTTGTATAATGTAGTAGTGCAGACAATAAACTTATTTTTTCGTAACACAAGTTCTGTGTAAAAATCATGCAATATGGTATTAAAATGAGCAGAATGTATGCCCCCCCTCTAGGAATCTGCAGACCCCAGGGGTTGCTACTGAGGGCTGCAGATCTGCTCCGTAATTCTAGGGAGCACTATGAAGTGGCTATGTGTTTCTATGAATGGCTGCAGATCTGCTCTGAGATTCTAGGGAGTGCTGTGTAGTGGCTGTGCGTTTCTATGTAGAGCTGCATAGAACGCGCAGGTGACTGTAAAGGTGATACCCCTTTCTATGGTGCTATGGCACTACACAGCCCTGCCACGTGCTGCCTAGCTCACCCAGGTTTTGCTGATGATTACTAGCAGCCGAGATAGCGTGTACACAGGCGCGACGGGCAAGTACCTATTCTACGCCACATATTATTGTTCTGAAGCGTACAGCGTTGACTTTTAGGAGTTGCCCTCATGCACTTTCAGCTAGCGTCTCTCAATCTCAGCGAAGCTGCCCCCGACCTTGACGCGGACGGCGCACTGGCCCCTGAAACTCTCTTTGCTAAGGGGGACAGCGCTCTCGCGAAGGTCTTACATCGTGGACCCTTCCATTCCTCTTCCACGGTACAGAATGCGGCATACGCATCTTTTCTCGAAACACCCATTGGGATCGCTGTCCTTGTGCTCGCCCGGCGCTTGATTTCTTCTAGACCCTCCATCGCTAAAAATTGGTCCTTGTGCAAGAAATATCTTGAGAATACTGTCAAAATTGCGTGCTCTGCGGAGCGCGAAATTGACGAAGATGGGTGTGAAGTGTTATATGGCCGTGCTGGATTACTCTATGGCCTTCTTTATCTAAAAAAGGCGCTCAATGATTTTTCTTCGTCCTCGATTTTTTCAAGTTTGCAAGAGGACTTTATTTCAGAATATTATGATTCACTGAAAGGTTTGGTGTCGGATGGCACTCTTCAGCAAGTCGTGGAGTCCATCATTATCCGCGGGAAACATGGCTCTCGCATCTATTCACAGGAATTTAGGAATCACAGAACTCCTCCCCTCCCACCGCTTATGTGGATATGGCACGGGAAACGGTATTTGGGAGGTGCTCATGGCGTAGGTGTGTAAAGCGATCTACATGTTCTAGAACTTATATACTTAAAACATTTTTATAGCTGGGATTTTGCAGGTCTTGTTGAGCTGCCCAAACGTTGTTATCGAACCCCACCTCGTTGAAATTATTCCCACCATCGAGTGGCTCGTCGGCTTGCAAGATCTGGCTGGCAACTGGCCCACGAAGGCCCCAAGCAACTATCGTGAGGGCCATCAAGTAAACGAACTAGTACAGTATGCGTTTCAACCTTTTCTTTCCTAAAGAAATTAATCTGAAATTTTTAGGTGGTGTCACGGAGCCCCTGGAATGCTCATTCTTCTAACCACCCTGCTTCGTCGGGCGCCAGGCGACGTGCCACAAGAATTGCGAGATAAAATTATTTCTTCCCTCCGCTGTGGCGCGGCCGTTGTCTATGAGCAAGGGCTACTCAGAAAGGGCGTCGGAATATGTCACGGAGTGGCGGGATCCGTGTTCGCCCTCCTCGCGGTATCAGATGCATTGGACGCGGATTCGGAGGAGCGTCCGTATCTCACGTTCGCCTTGCACCTAGCGCATCTTGCGACGTTTTACGAGTCATTTACGGCGCAGGGGCACATGAGGACTCCTGATCACCCGTGGAGCCTGTATGAGGGCGTTGCTGGGATGTGCTGTGCGTGGGGTGAGGTTTTGCGGAGGATGGGAAGTGAGACTCTGCGGTCCCTCGAGTGTAGTGGTCAACCCGGATATGACGATTTGTTTACCTAGGGAAAAAAAATCTGTTGGGAATCCTGCAAGGAGACTTCTGGGGACTGGCCTTCGCGTTCCTTGAACTTTGTGTTCACTTGTTTGCATCCTTTTCCCTCTACACCATTGCCCATCACAGTATCAACGGCAACACTGAGTCAGAGCTTTTGGTACCCCATACCGACACATTATTTGATCGAAATCATGGCAAGGTGAGAACACATCCTCATCTCTCCTTCCATCCTCAGTTCAGTCAACAGACAAAGGATCACGAAGTCCACTCTTGATCTCACTTCAATACGGGAACTTGAATTATCCGACCTGAAGTATTGGGCATTCGTTTTCCGTATCCGCCTTTACAAGATCATCCACCCCAAAACCGAATTATTTAGATTGTCACATGCCGTTGGTCGCTTGGATTCCACTCGCTTTATCAAATGCGGACCCGGTTCGTGTGTGAGGTTCACTGAAGCTCTGACAATGCACTACGTTGCCAGCAACACCACCATTCCTGTCCCCCGTCTTCTCGATGTTTTCAAATTCAAACGCAATAATTTCATATACATCATCCAAGAATTTATCGACTGTCCCGTCCTCGAAGATGTGTGGCATCGATTGAGTGAAGAGGATCAGCTGAGCAGCATGAAAGAGCTGAAAGGCTACCTTGACCAACTTCGGGCCCTGCCGCCTCCAGATCCACAAAGGGTACAAGCAATTGATGGCGGCGTGG